GTGTGCGGCAGCGTGCGCGCGGTGTACATGTGTGTTGCAGAGAAGCATTTGCACGGCATTTACAGGAAATTGTCGACAATAATAGGCGAAAGAGAGTAGAGAAACATTAAGACTTTGGTATAGGAAATATATTTCGTATTTATTTAGCATTATATTTTATTGAAACGCTTTAAGTGCCTGTGATTGAGCACGCGTTCGTTCGTGCATGTGCGTGTGCTTACGCACAGGCACTTGGAACGTCTCAATAAAAAAAATTAATGGTAAATAAACACGAAATGTACCAAAGTCTTAATGTTTCTTTACTCTATTTCGCCTATAATCACCTGTAAATGCCAGTCAAATGCTTATCTGCAACACGCAAGTACACCGCACGCCCGCGCTGTGCACAAACAACATGAATAAGAGAATATGAACATGATATAACTCTCTTATTCATGTTGTTTGTGCACAGCACGGGCGTGCGGTGTACTTGCGTGTTGCAGATGATCATTTGACTGGCATTTACAGGTGATTATAGGCGAAATAGAGTAGAGAAACATTAAGACTTTGGTACATTTCGTGTTTATTTACCATTAATTTTTTTTATTGAGACGTTCCAAGTGCCTGTGTGCTTACGGGGCCGGCGTGCCGATGTGAAGTGTAAGTAGTGCTCGTGAGGGTGGTGTTTTTTCAACGTGTCCCATTAGCGGCACACATAAATCCGATTTCGTTCTAACGCCGACCCTCCCAGCAAGTAATTACATGCCTGCTCGCATTCCTCAGAGATAGCGCAGACAAAGCGTGATTATGCTGTTAATTAAGACGCGACCACGCGCATAGAAATAGAAAGAGAGGGAAAGAGAGCTTCGATCGACGCATTAGTAAAATAACCTCGACACAATGCAACGTGCTTGCGGGAATTCTCACGCCGTGAAGTTGCGGAGGGATTTTTTAAATCTTTTTTTTTTGCGCAGATGCGCTCATTTCCTAGCTGTGACTAAATCAGCACGTCGCATAAACACTGCTACATAACACATGAAACAGTGAAACGAGCAATGGCAATGACACGTTGGTATATAATATGGTTACGTATATATATGACTATAATACATCCTACATCATAAAATATGCAGCCTCCGTGAAGATTGGTTGCCGAATGGTAATCCGTAGCAGCAATTTTCGCACACCTATTCGTCATGTTTTAATCCTGTCTCGTTCGATGATGTATTCGAGATCGATACGTTGTTCTCATGTCGTTTGATAATGATTAATCGTTGCGGGGCTGCTAATTCTCCTTCTTTATTAATCATTCTTTGTCTTCCATATAAACATGTGATTGCGTAATGATAGGGGGTACAATTTTAATCATTTGACATGGTTGTTATATGGTGGTTATGGTGGTTTGATCTAAGTGTTCATTGAGACGCCACGTGGCTATTTGGCGTAGAACACGCTTTTCTAATTATGGGATACCTGGTATACATGAGAATTGCTATAAAAAATGCTATTATGCCGGAAAATTACATCGGGGGTCGCTGTTCGATATCCGATATTCGTCATCGGCAGGAACGCGCACAGAATATGTTAAATCGTAACTGGTAACGCTTAAATGGCACCTGGATATTACACTTCCGTATACATGCAGCTGCGTGCACGGAGGGTGCTGTTTAAATACATAACAGCTTAGCGTCGACGCATTTACTCACGCGCGCGCTTTCACTCGGATTCGCTAGGAAATAATCTGTTATTTCCGTCGGTTAGGGCTCGCGGCGCTTGCCACGCATCGCCGTTAAACTTTCTATTTGCGATCTGCTGCGTCATCTCTAACTTATTTATGCTTCTCGTTCTCGGCGAATCCCGTGCGTGCGTGCGTGCGTGCAGGCAAGATGACGCGATCGACGCCGTGTCACCTTCTCACGATGCTGCTGCTGATCATCGGCACCGCGCTCACCATCATGGGATTCCGCGGCCTCGACCGGTTCGTCATTCTGGGAGCGATCGGTCACATTCTCGCAGGTATAGCGAATTCAATCTCTCTCGCGCGCGCACTGCGCTGTCTCTTCGGCGCGCGATAAAATTACTGTTTACTGTCATCGCCAGTCGCGACATGAAACTTTAATGCCGCTTCTCGCATCGCGCGCCCGGGGGGCTTTTTCTTCATTCGGGGCCGTCGTCGATTGATTGTTGGCTGCCGCGAGTGTTTCGGCGTCCCAGGTGAGCGCGTCGTATTTTTCAAGCGTTAACCCGCTGTGAACTGTAGTCTATAAACGCCGCCGCCGGGTTGTGTCTGCAGGAATAACGCTCCATACTGCGGCATCTATATTCTAAATATTCTATCTAATATATATTTGAGTTCGTATGTATGTATGTATCTTTCCTATAGGCGGCCAAACCGCCCAAGCGATCTGGATGCAATTTTCACACGGCCATCTGTTATACCCGGGGAGTGTTCGTAGCTGAAAAAAACCTGCCAAACCGTCAAGCTCACCAAAAAATCCGTGAAAACCCCCTCAATTCGTCA